CCCTGAGGGCACAGTTAACAGCTGATTAACGCCAGCTGATTGACCTTGTTTTGATTGACCAAGTCCCCGACGCTCAGGGTGGCTCCGCCCACGCTCTCTCGGGTGCCCGCCCCCAAGCTGCCGGTGCTGGCCCAGGCCTGGTCGCTGTAGCCGGCTTAAAAAAAGCCCTCAAAAGAGCTTTTTGTCAGCCTTTTTTTAGCTTAAGATTCCTTCCCCAGTGCAGTCTTACCTGCTCTGAAGCTGGTCTCCGCAGCAAATGAGTTGTGTCTCGATTCATTTGTCTGGAAAGTGATTGTGTCTTGATACAGCTATCCCAATAAAGTCCCAATAAAAGGGTGTGATTAGTGCTAATTACTTCCAAAGTGTATTATCCTAAGGTCTCAGCATTTGTTGCTATTTATCAGCTAGACTCTTAAGAGTGGCTTCTTTTCCTCTTAGGAGGAAAGGATTTTTGTCCCCAGGTTCCTTGAACTTTAATTTCCTTTTTAGATTTCCTAAATGTTTATTTTGGGGGGATTGAAAGTAAGACTCAGATTCCTTTCCAGATGGGGAAGTGCTTTTTAAAAGATTTATAATGTTAAGATGTCTGTGAGGTCATTTGAATTTGCTTTGCCCTCTTTCAGTGTTGGTCTAAAAGGCTTTATAAAATGCAGTCACAGTTTGCAGCATGCGTGAGTGGTGTTTGGCACTGGCGCGGAGTGCTTTAGTGTTTATCCTGCTCTGGGGTACAGGTTAAATGAAGGAAACCTTACCTCACCTCTCATCATCAGTCAGAACTAAGCTTTTGGTGCTGTTGCAATTTTCATCAGTTCTCCAAACTGCTAGTTTAGCATCATGATGTGTTATGCAGAACGTGCTCCAATAATAGTGAGAGTGTATCACGTGTGCTTCCAAGGATGTGAAATAGCTTCATAATAATTAAATTGAGTAAAATGCATTTTAGATGCTTTTAATCAGAATATATTAGTTTTACGGGAAATGTTTTTTAACAGTCTATGGGTTCAGTCTGAAGGAATGAGCCTGAACTTACCACTTCCGTCTCTGGTTTCATTGCTGCCTCTAGAGATAGAGAGATTTTTGTTATTGTTAATAGTAATAATAATAATTCAACTGTTCTGTGTGGGACAATATTCAAGCTCCATCAGAGGCAGTAGAGGTGAGGTTTTTTCCACGTGGTAGGAGACAAGGCTGAATGACTAGCTTTTCCTCATAAAGTGATGGAAATAAAAAGCTTAGGAGGTGTTAAACTTTATGTTGGAACTAGCAGGTGCTTTATTTCAGACAAGCATATCTTCAGGAAAGCTTTATTATTACAAGCATTGCTTAAATTGAAGCCTTTTGCAGGCCTGTTGTGCCTCAGTGTGACAGCAAGAGCTGGATTCCCCGTGTAACACTTGTCACTCCAGGGGCAGCAGGTCCAGACCCTGTCATTTACCACTTGGGTCACCAGCTGGATCACAGTGCCCTGTTCCTTGCTCCTTACAAAAATGCTGGAATTTATTAAAATATTTTGCTCATATTAGCCTTCCATAACATAACAAGTCAATGTATTGGGTAGAAAGATGATGGTTTTTTTAACTACTTGTGTTAGTTTTGCTAAAAAAAATTATCCTACATAAACTGTCTGGGATTTTCTTTCACAATTTAACATTTTTCAAGGGAAAAGCTGCTTGTGTTTTAGCCAGTTTAAAATCCCTTTTCATAGAATTCATTGAATGCTTTTGTGTGCTAATGCCATGATTATGCTTGTAAGTTAATGATGCATTTCTTAGAGAGAATGTCAGAGTTTGAATTTATTTAGATACTTGTGCAATTTGCTGCAGAGATTTTATTACAGGTAAGCCAACTGTCTGTGTTTCAGAATGAGCTAGGATCTAGCACCATTTAAAAATGCATTTGGAATACGCTTTTGTCCTTTTGATTCCAAAAAAACCCCTACATGTTTAAAATATTTTCTCCTTTGAATATTGGAAGCTAAATATTTTTTGGTATGGTGACATCTGTTTTCAGTCTAAAGCCCGAGAAATAGATTTTTATTTTTTTATATATCAGGGATTTTTGAAAAAATTCTCCTAAGAGAAAGTTAATTTTCATTTGTCTTGAAGATTTGCTTGTCTCATTACTTACCAAACTTTATTCTGCCCTATCTTTTTTCATAATTTTCAGAGTTTGGATACAGACAAGCCTGTGGCACCAGTGAAGAGATCACCTCTCCGTCAGGAAACCAATCTTGCCAACTTCTCATACCGCTTCTCCATGTACAATTTGAATGGTTTGTTGAATTGTTTACCCTCTCAAATATTAGTTTAGGGAAAAACCTGTTCCAGATACAGATCAGAACGTTGTAATCCGTAAGAGCATTTAATTACGTTTCTAGCTGAAGTGAGAATATGTTTGCTGAAAGCACGGAATTTTTGAGTATCCTAAAGCACTATCTTTTACAGCATCTAGTATCTGAGAATTGTAGTCTAGTGTCTGTACAGAAATACACATTCTGGGATCTGATCTCATGAAAGAATGAATTGATATGTATCATGGGACAGGATGCAGGAATATAGCTACAGAATGCTTTCATGTTAAACAAAAATCATGGTTTTCCTTGTCTTGAAATAGCTTCCCCTGCTCGTAATACAAGAAGCCTTAATTTAAAGGCTTGAGTATGTGTATAGTATTTTGTGGATTTGGTTTTTTTTAAAGCAGAGTTGCATACCTTGCATTGCTTTATCAGAAAATACTTTTAAAAGAAGTGTAGGTGTTTTTTCTCAACTGAAGCATGGTATTTTACAAATGTATTTTTAGATTCTGTTCAGAGGACAGCAGTTTAGACTTCTCATAGATTTCTTCTGTCAGCAAATTTATTTATTCTAAATAGTTTGTTGGGGTTTTTTTTTAATTGCTGTTAGACCACTCAAGAATAGTAGTGCAAATAAATTTCTGCTTAGCAAAGAGCAGAGATTTTACAATACAGATGGGAGAAGAGAATGGTTTCTTCTGCTCCTTTACCCTAAGTGTTAAATTTGGTTACACAAAGAGTTGCACGGACAAATGAAGTAACTCCGCATGTACTGAAAACTCTTGTTTGTTGCAGAAGCCCTGAATCAGGGGGAGACTGTGGATCTCGATGCCCTCATGGCTGATCTGTGTTCCATAGAGCAGGAGCTCAGCAGCATTGGGTCTCATTCAGCAAACAATGCTGCAGTGAAACGCGTTGCCACAGAATCCAAACCTCAGAAACCACCTGCTAGCCGACCTTCTACTAAGCACAGCAGCATGAAAGGATTATCCTCCTCATCTGGTAAGGTGACTAAACCATCACATGCCAATGTATCTTTGGATGACATCACTGCACAGTTAGAGAAGGCCTCGTTGAGCATGGATGAGGCAGCCCAACAATCTGTTGCAGAAGATCCCAAGCCAGTAGTTACTGCTCAGCACAGGAGGACAGCGTCTGCTGGCACAGTGAGCGATGCTGAGGTGCGCTCAATGAGTAACTCCTCCCGTTCCAGCATAACCTCTGCAGCTTCTAGCATGGACTCCTTGGATATCGATAAGGTGGCAAGACCTCAGGAGCTGGACTTGACATCACAAGGGCAACCGATCACTGAGGTATAGTGTCTTTAATTCGAGATTGTGAGTTGGTTTTGGCTTTTTTTTTTTTCCTTCAATCTCTCACTTTTTTCTTCTTTCCTTTTTTTTTCCCCTCCTCATGGTGACACTCCTAGCTAAACATCTGCAGTGCAGTGGAGTTGATTAAAGATTAAGATTGTTTTCGCATGGACTGCGCATGCTGTGGCTACTTTTTTCTTTGTTTTTGTTTCCATCTGGAAGGGATATTTTAAAGAGTTTGTACTTCCTTTTTTTTCTTACTTTTTTTTTCTTTCCAGGATTTTCCCCATCTCTTCCTCCTCTCAGTCCACTCATGGATTTTGATATTTTATAGTTAATATTTTTATTATAAGTAAATATCTTATATTGCTTTTAATTTAACTCTTGAGAAGTGCACAGCTGTGGAAAAAAGAAAGTACAACTGACAAGACTGCATTCTGTCACAGTACACTTAATACCTGAAACATATGGAGCAATTTGAGTGCTTATCTGGAGCTATACTATACCAGTAATTTGCTGCTATTTAATATTCTTATTTAATGTATGGCAGGGAGAAATCTTTGAAGCAATGCACAACACAAAAAAAAACCCATCTCAGCTGGGGCACAACAGTAGCAGATTTTGATTTGGGATTTTGGTGCCTCGGCATTGCTTCATCAGAGAGGAAACTTTTCAGTAAAAATACAGCCAGTTTTGGGAATGTTGTAAGTGCTGGTGACTTGTGTGAAGAAATGGGGAAATTATTCTGGTGAGTTTATAGACCTCAAACCAGATGCTGTCTTAGAAGTATTCTCTGGAAGAGAAATCTGGCCTGTTTAAAAGTCAGTTGTACTCATATGCATGTTCTCTTTTACGGGAGAAAACTGGAACAAGCTGAGTTTATCGTAATCAATAATTAACAATAATGTGAGTGAGCTTTGCTGCAAGCATGCCTCTGCCCATCTGCAGCAAAAGTTCATCTGATTTAAAGAGTGAATGATGCAGGCTTGTCAGTCTAATGATCAACTCATCAAGGTCACACTTAGATTTAAATCTTTATTTGAAACAGTGAGAAATGAATGAGTGACAATTTAGTTGAACTAGCTTTGGTGTTTAGTGTGTTTTTATTGGAGATTTGTATTGAGTGAAGCAAAACAGAGGTAGAAATGTGTCCTTGGCATTATTGCTGTAGGCCTAAGTTTTAGAGCCACTCTATCACAATCATTGATTATATTGTTAGATTTTGTCAATTACTTTCTTTCTGTTGTATGACAAGGCTTATTTTTGGTTTTGTTGACTGCTGACTGCTATTCATGCTGTTATATTTTACTTTGGTTTCATATAGAAAGTTAAACGATACTGCATATTTGTTTCTCCTTAGGCTAAAAAGATGATTCATGAATTAATCGCTTCGGTAACTTGGATAGCACAAGAAAAACTGAATTTTACATTTCTTAATTTTAAAAAATGCAGCATGTTTTCTGCAGTTGAGTTTGCAGGTTTCCCTGTAGATCGCAGCGTCTCTTACTTCAGGAGTGGTATGCATGAGACATCAGTATAAAATTGCCCTTCTTGTCTCCAAGATTTTTCAGTTCTTCCAATGATTTGAGTAATCAGCAAGCCACCTGCTGCATACAAGTAACTTGATGTTGGTGGATCAAGAGACAGAGGTTAAGAAGTTCCCTTGTCTTTGTAGGAAGCTAATCTGTATTGCTTCAAGTTGTTGCAGTTGCCTTCTCGGTTCCTTTATGAGCTCTTGGGCACTGACTGCAAGGCTCAATCACCTCCTAAAGCTTTCCTCAAAGACATGAGAGCTGCCTTTGTAAAGCCGATGATTGCTTCTCCTAAGAATGTGGCTATTGTTTCCCTGCACAGATAAGCTGATAAGAATGATTCCTTTGTAGGAGGTAACCAGAAAGCATTGGTGATTTGAGAGCCAAATTCTGCTCTCCTCTTGAGAGCCGAAATCTCTACACTCATTAGCAGCGTTGCTTTGTTTTTGCTGTATCTCTTCTTTTTAATTTCAGTAGCCAGTGGAGAGTGTTCAGCTCCGAGATATTTTCCCCAGATTTACAGAACTGATATCTGACTATTACGTATTAAAACTGTTATGTGATGGGATGGGACTTTTTACTGTGAAGCAACTTTTTTTTTTTCCATCACTGGGAAAATGACATTTGTTTTGAGCTTGTGACAGATTCAGTGTTTTTTAAATGACAACTTTATAAAGGGGACAGAAACCCGACGATTCTTCGGTGGAATCATTGGTTACCAACAAAGGAGTTTATTTCCTTTTCTCATTCATTTAGTACCTGAAAACGACTGTTGATGAATTTTCATGGTTAGGCTCTCAACCGACTGAGGAAGTAACCTTTGAAGGAGATCTAGTGCCTGTGTAGGAAAAATCCCCAATTTTTCATGCAGAAAGTAGGAGAGGTTATTACTTCATGGCTATAGCAGATTTGTTTTGAGAATTGTTATTCTTACATAGTGCTTCAAGTTAGCTCTTTTCTTTTTGCGTATCTTCCTTGAGGCTGTCTGTAGTTGAGCTGACCTTTAGAATTTTTCTTTGCCACTGTGGCTCTTATGAAAGAGGTCAGTGACTTGGCAGCTCTGCCCTTTTGACCGAACATTTCTGTCCTTTCTAGACAGTATAGGTACTTTTAAAAACTGATCCTTTCTTCCTCAACTTAATGTTCTGCTCTTTCTCATGTAATTCCAATAAAGTTAAGAAAAACTGGAAGGCTATTCTGATAGAAGGAAATGCTTGTCTGAAAATGAAATTAAGTTTTGCAGTTGTTAACTTCGGAATTCTATCTTAAAAATCTGCTGTGTATGTAAGAGCTCTTTAACCTGGAAGTGTAGGGAAATCCTATAAAAGAACTGCCATGCACTGGGCCACTGAAGATGTGTTCGGTCTAGTATACTTTCTGACTGATAAATGACGGTAGGTTTTTGGAATGAGGCTGCAATTCCACAACCACCAAAAACGGGAGGATATGACGTCCCTGTCCTCTCATCCATCCTTCTCCAAAGCTATTCACACTGTCTCATCTCCCTTGTCCCAGCTTTGGCACTTAACCGGTACTTCATACACCAAAACTTAGCGTTTTGTTCTGGGGCTCATTCTGCATTATTTGGGTGAATTGCACAGGCTCAGAGGGATCTGATTTGTGCTGGTGTTCATTCATTGGGGAAATTGTAGCCAAGAACTGGAGGATGGAAGGGAAAGCAGGAATATACCCATTGGTGGTAATGGATTCTTCATGGGTATTTTTTGCCTGAGCAGCTGGACAGGCATGTTGGTGTCATTGGCTTCAGCTCTGTAGTCTGCACTGTAGGAACTTCCTGGGGTTGAAGCTATGTGAGCATCATGACAGATCATAGCTGGCCTGGTCCTACTGGCTAGGACTGTTGTTGTTCTCAATCTGAATTTACCTCTCTGCCACTTCCAGGAGAGTTGACTGGAATTCCCTGGGTTTTCTAAAATCATGGTTTTATTAGTTATCATCATGATCTGTTTAATTTTCTTCTTTTCATAACAATTCTTAACACTCTATCTTTGGACACTGTGAACAGCAGTGTCTTCAAAGACATTCTTCAAAGATGTTCTGGTCTTCAGTCTTCTCTAAGCATTGCTGAATAAGAAAAGTTATTTCCATCACACCAACCCTCAGTGATTTTTGCTAAATTGAAATTTGTGTTTCACAAAATTATTTCCCAAATCCTTACTTGAACAGTGTTCTTCCTTAAATTGGTAGGTTACATTTTGTCTTCTCTGCTTTTAGTTGTGTAATAAGTGCCATACACTTTAAATCGTGGTTTCTGCATGTGAGATACCTTACTTGAATGTCAACTGAATGAGTGTTGTGATAATATGAGTTAAAGACAGGGAAAGGGCTGACTGTATGACTAACTTGTCCCTTTCACCCGCCCATATTATGTTTTGCCTTTTGTCTTTGGTTCCTCTGCCAGCAAGAAATTGTCAATATTTTTAGTGAGCTGTGCTAGGGCAATAGGAGAAGAAAGCAGTGAGGAGAGAATAGAGAACTGTTGATTGTGCTGATGTAGCTGGTTCTATCTGATCAGTGAAAGGGTCCATTCATGGACAGTCATTGTTACTGTCCTGCATATACTCAGTGAAGAGGTTACAGATAAGTTTCAAGTCAGCCATCTGGTCTGGCACAGAGCAGCGGCACCCCCTCTCTCCCAACATTATGGAGTTCTTTATGTCTGTAACCCAGTTTGCACAGCTGAGAGATTCTTCATAGGAAGATAATGCATAATTTAGCAGTTGGTGAAGCTACATGATTTTTTTTTTTTTAGCTTAAATTCATTGTGGTTTTAGGCTTGATGTATAAGAGGTGAAAAATTTGTTACAGGGGACTGCCAGTGCATTAAAACTACAGGTTATTTGCTTCACTTGGTGGAGAAGATGACAGTATAGAGTAAATGTTAATATTTCTTTCAGGGAAAGGCAACTTTGGGGGTATGACAATAATGGTTGTAATGTAAGCTCAGCACACATAGGCATATCTGGATTGGCTAATAACTCCTGCAGGATAAAGTGGAAAACTTGAAATGGGCATAAGGAAAGACTAAGTCTGTGTTCCATAGCAATTATGCCTTGGTTCTTGTATGAACATGTTGTCACTAAAATAATACTTGCTATGCGGTAGCATAACGCAGAAGCTTTTCTGCCCATTAAAGGTTATTGCAGATCATGTGTTATGTGTGATTACGAAATGTTATGTTGTTTGAAAATGCAGTTAACTGTTTCTGCATGCAGAGAAATCAACCTATGATATATACAATCTCTGGGAGGCAGCAGTGTCTTAAATTAGAGTTGGATTGCTGAACCTCACATATTACTTGTAGGTGATTTGAAGAAGAGTTGTTAAGAGCTACTTTAGCTCTTGGAGGAGCAGAGCATCATTGGCGCTTCTATTTTGGGAACTGAGGGTTTGAGTAGTTTTCCTTATGTTCCGTGCTTTGTGTGGTTAGCAAATGCAAAGGATGTAGTCTCTTAATTAATGACAGTAGTCACAGATATGCAACAAACAAGGCATGACAGACATTTGTTTTGTGTTTCTTACAAAGACTCACAAAAAGAATTAAATTTCATTTGCTGCCAGTTCTATTATGTCCTTAGTTTTGTACACAAAGTGTATCTGGAGTGTTTCCAGTTATCCTTTTCCTAAGCTGAAAATAGTCAATGGAAAGACTTAATTTGAAACATGGTTAGTTCATCTCTTCCTCTCTTTTTCTTTTTCCAATTATTAGTCACAAACTGTTTTTTAATAAGTCAACAGTAGAGGAAAATTTTGCAGATATATCATCTTGAATCATTACTTCGGCTTCTGAATTTGTTGGCATAGGAAGTGTGAGCCGTCCAGTTTTCAAATGTTTGTGAAAGATGTGTAAAATCACTCTTCACTTGCCAGAGTTTTTGGAGGCTTTCATGACATCCTCTGAGATAAACAGAAAATATGAATTCTAAACAATACTTATGTATTTTATCATGAAGTTTATATATGACAGTAAAACAGTTTATGGCATATGATGCACTAGAACCCAAAGATTACTAATACATTCAATACCAGCAAAACTAGCACCCAAACTTTTTTTTCACATTATATTTAGAGAAACTGCAAAGTGATGGGAAGGAGTGTTCTTTTGGTAAGAATTTTGTGTCGGAATCAAAGGAAAACATTCTAAACGGTTGTTGCTGCACATGCATGGAATGATAGGTTTTAAAAATTGGGATATAGAGATTTAAAATAAGCAAAAGGGAAATGAGAACATAAACATGATCCTTGTTTTGGTAAATCTTGATTCTTTGATAAGTGTATCAAATTTATTTCATAGTCATGAATTTAAAATTTACTCTGTGGCTTTTTTCTACATAGGAGGTCATTAATTAAAGTGGAACAGCAACCATGAAGCATGTAAGAATATATTTGTCTTCTGAGATTGCCTGTCAACTTTACCTCACACTAAAGAGTGAGCTTAAACTTGCTCAGGAAGGAACAGCAAAATGGTCAGTGTGATACATTGTTTGACACAGCTGGCTGACAAAGCTGGTAGCAACTCAAAAAATTACAATTTTGATATATTTTCGTGCTTTAAGTATGAACACTAAAGGCATTGTCTATTCCTAAATTGCATTCTTTCTGGTCGTTCTATGATGTTGGAGCCCTTTGTGGACCAGCAACTGAATGACTTGAACTCTGCTATCCAAAATACAGTTATCTGCAGTTAAAACAGCTTACTCAGAGACTTTTTTGATGGCCACAGCTGTACACTATCAGAATTTGCTTGCAGTGTGCTTGGCCTTTATTCCATTGTGTCTTGTGGAGATACCAGACACATGATGGTTTCTGTTCTCCAGTTGTTCTGACTTTTCAAGATGAAGGCACACAGTTCAAGGTTCATCAGCCTTCGCTTTTCAGTTGCAGTAGACTCTTGCTGATTACAAGAAAAGAATGTGAGCTGGTGGCAGTGGTAGTTAGCTGAGCTGGTACCCTCTTAATATGGTTACACTTCTGTATGTGTAGGTACCTGTGCTGTTTTGATTAGTAATGCTAACAGTAGAACAGCTGCTTTTGCTGATGGACTCTGTCTGCAGTCCAGTGACTTTTTATTCTTTTAGCTTCCCCTTGTGCCTCTTTATATATATTGATCAGAGAAGTTGCTAGCCTCAGTTGCCAAACACAGTTTGAAATGAGTGCTGTGTAAATAACTACGTTTTGAAATAAATCTCACTGCTTTCATGCCAATTCCACAGCACTTTAGAAGGATACTTGTGATTATGATGGGATTTGTTGAGAAAGAGATTGTGTCATTGGTACAGACAAGCTAAGAAAATGTTTGCTCGGAGGTTGGAGCTCTTACTAAATCCATCTGCAAGAGAAAAATACCATAGATCAGTGACCAAGTAAATCTAGGTACATACCTCTCGGAAGAAGCAGTCATAGACCAAGCTGATAGACCTGAGTTGAGAGATTAGAATTCTTGCCTTATAATGTTAACTAGTTTTGTCAGAAGCAGTACAGGGAGTTGTATGCTTCAGTTGCAGTTTCCAGCAAAGATACTGCTCTAGAAGTTGGAATTAATCAAGGGCGCTTTTAAACCACCAAATTTCTTTGTAGATACATACGAGTCCACTTAAAAGCAAGACAAATTCCTTTACTTTTTCTGCAACATCTAATTAGATTACAGAAGATAAATAGTACATCTGTAGGAAATTAGCAACAGATTACTTGTTTTTCGTTACTAAAGGTTGCCAAAAAACAAATTTGGAACAGATGACAAAAATTACGAGCACAGCAGCTGATTGTGGAACATTGAACTCTTAAGAGGAGAGAAGAATCTATGCAGTTTTCTTCAGTTGCATATACTTCTAATTTATAGGATGAAAACTAGGGTTTGTGAGATTTGTAACGGAGATTTTAAAAATGACTCTTCATGTTCTGAAGAAACAACTGAGAACAGGCCTTTTAGCTGTGTCAGTTTCACACCTGCTGGTTAGTGTGTACTCTTCTATAGCATTAAAGTTGTCTGCAAATACAAAAAGTCTTAGTTTTTAGTTAACTGTATTTACAGCCTTGGTTACAGTTTCCTATGTTGGACACTTACTGGGCTCATGTTTGTAGAAGTTATTCAGAGTTTTAGATCAGCCGTATCAGTGGTTTGCTTTATGAATGCGGGTTGATTTTTTTTTTTTCATATGGCTTATCTGCTTTTAACCAAAAGGCTAGATTTGTGACTTTTAACTCCCCAGCTGTGTATACACATTCTCTTACAGTGATTGTTCTTTGGATGATTTGATGTCTGCAGTCACCTTTTTTAGGACTGATTTATAGTTTAGAAGTCAAGAAACATATAAGCAAATGTTATTTAACACAGATACTACTTAAAGTAAAAGGCAGCAGATTCAAACAAAACAAATTAAAACTATGTGCACTTTTAATCCTTAGGCTTCTTAGCTGCTTCAATGTCTTGTTTTCTGTGCTGCAGGTAGAGCCCTTCACAGGATGAAGTATCTGATACTGTTTCTCTAATTCAGTCACACATAAATTAGTCTTGCTAAAGTTGGGGTGATGGTTTGGTGGTTTTTTTTAATTTCTTTGAGTCTTCTGCTTAAAGCATTTGACAGCCATTTTCCATGAAATTATAGTCCATCTTATTTACTTTTTCTGGTTTTGTTTTGGTTTTTCTGGGGGGAAATGCCACTGCTTGAAACCTCTTCTGTGCAGGTGAACTTGTTCTGAGATTTCAGGTTTGGTTGATGCTACTGTTCAAGTGAGCAGTGTTGTGCCTTCTTGTAGTGGCACTAGTCTTTTGGCAGCTGCCTGCTGGTTTGGATCAACTTGTGATTTCCCTGAAAAATAGTTCTTCTGAGTTAATGTTTGTTGATTCACTGGACCCCGTGGTCAAAATCACTGCTGTCCACAAAAGAGATGTAAGAGCATGTGGTTGTGAGAAGGTCAGGACTGCCTTTTTCTTATGGCAGTTTAGTCTTAAATTTCTTAAAACCAGTAGTGAAACTACATTTGAACTGAAATGTTTACTAGCTTTTGCAATCCTTTCTGTCCTACTGTGTCCCAAGGAACTTGTTTTCAATAAGGAGGCACTGCAATCTGACATGGGAGGTGCATAGACTAGCTCACCTTGTGCACATCGTGCAGCATTTTCTTAATTTGAAATGTCTACAGACATTTTTCTTAAATTGCAGTGAATTTCTATACATTTACACTGTAACTGTCAAAATTGGCATGAAGTTATAAGTGTCCTTAGTAGTTAGATACTTGCTGTAAATTAATATTTATTTAATTTTTTAAAGTCCTGATTGTTTGAGGATTTTTTTTTTTTAAGTTGCCAAGTTGAGCATTTAGAGTTTGGAAATGCCAGTTGCCTGCAGTAAGATGGAGTTGCACAAGTCCCAGGAGGAGAGCTGGCCACTTGGCAGCACAGAGCTGATCCAGTAGATCCAGATTCTCACTTCTCATGTCTGACTCCAGTAAGCTCTGCAGCAGCCAGGCACTGCAGTTGGAAGAAGGCTGCTGTACACTCCCACCGTGGACTGAAGCGTTCTCAAACTTGGCCGATGTTTTTTTCAGTATTAGTAGTGTGTGGTCTAGTTGAAGGCCTAGACAGTGCTGTGGGAGAGAATGCACCCTTGAGGTTTATTTTCAGTTGTGACGCTCCGGACTTCTCTGAGGCTTCATGGACTACTATTTTAATTCAAAAAGTTTATGCTGCGACAAATTTGGTGAACTCCATGGGACTGCATGAGTTTCAACTGTAACTTTTACCAAAATGAACATGCCTGAAACAAATACTTCTGTGCTTTTGAAGGAAAAGGAGCAAGCATTGGATAGCACACTGGAAATCTTGGGCACTCTACTTTTGAGTAGCATAATATTGAATTTTTGATCCCTTAACAACTTCACACTAAGAAGCTTGTCACTACTGTGAGCACCTTGTCCTGAGCCACAAATGTGGTATTGGGGTTTTTCGTGGTTTTTTTACCCACTTACTAAGATTGTGGAAATACAGAAATACTTCCTTTTCATTTCTAGGTTACTTACAGTATGAAGGTGCAAAGTAGTGTGACCAACCAAAAATAAGATAAATCTCTACTAAATGGACATTCTTCTTATGTACTTAGTAATTGTCACCAGAGTGCATTACGTTATTTACTGGTATGGAGAAACTAACATGAGAAGCAGATAAGCTTGTATAAAGTGTCAGTATTTTGTTGTGTGGGTTTTTTGGTGGTGGTTTGTGTTTGTTTTTCCTCCCTATTTGTAGTGTTTTGAGAATTTAACTCGCAGTTTGTTGGCTTAGTGAGGAAGTGTTGTGCAAAGAGAACATTACCTGGGTTTATTTTCTGATTTGTTTCAAAGAGATAGAAACAGTGTGTTGTGTATGCCTGCAGATGTTTCACTGCAGTGCTTTTATCTGAGATTGACTGTTTCTCTTCTTACTGTGGTTGAAAACATACTTGCATCCTACTTCCTTCTCCCTTCCAGTAAGAGAGAGCCTGAATCTCCTCATTGATCACTTGTCCATAAGAAATCATGGTGAGGAACACTGCAACTTCTTAATCTAGTTTTGTTGCCTTTGCTTATATTAATTGTCATCACTGCTTCTTTCTTGCCTCTTTCGAGCAATAATAAAACCTTTCTTTCTCCTTCCTTCTCCCCTCTTCCCTTTTGCATCCCTCCCTCCCTACATTTTAACTGTTTCTGTGGGACATTCCATCAATCAGTCCAAGTATCCTATTAACTTGCCAGAAGAGGAAGCTGAATTGACTCCTGCAAGTTATTATGACATGTTTATGTGGCTTCTGTTTGTCAATAGTTGTGTCATTTTGCTGTCAACACAAAAAATCATGTTAGTGGCTCGTTTAGTTCATTAGTATCCCTGAAGTGCAGTAAAGGAACCGTATATCATTACAGTAAAGCTTTTATGTCATCTTTAAGTTGTTCATTGCCTATTTTCTAGTTATTATTTGGGCAAGGCTGTTTAAAATACATGTAAATGTTTTTTCTTAAAGCGATGATTGCTCTTGGCAGTTGTAGAGTCATAGAATCATTTGGGTTGGAAAAGACCTTTATGATAGCCAAGTCCAACTGTGTTCACCTAGCAATGCCAGGCCCTACCGCTAAACTGTCCCTAAGCACTTCACCTTCAAGGTCTTCCAAATACCTCCAGGGATCTCCACTGCTTGACAAGCCTTTTGCTGAAGAAATTTTTCTTAATATCCAATCTAAACCTCCCCTGGTGCAACTTCAGGCCATTTCCTCTGGTTCACTTAGGAGAAGCGACTGACCCTCACCTTGTACAAACTCCTTTCAGCTAGTTGTAGAGAGTGATAATGTCTCTACTGAGCTACCTTTTTTCCAGGCTCAACAACCCTCTTTGCAGAGGAAAGCAGAAATTTTTTTTAAATTATGAAAATCTAATTGTAAAAACCAATTTTGTTGTGTGCTCTTATACATTCTACATGAATACATGAACTCAAAGAGTTTGCAAAGAAGATTTCAGTTCTGCTTTATCAACTTTATCTCCCTTTGGGACAAAATTACAAAAACAATATTTAAACTTTTAGCTCTTGTTCTCTTTTGAAAATAGTGGATTCGAATTTTTTAAGATAGAGTCTACAGCATTCAGCTAATGTAGTTGAAACAACAGCTACAGGAGTTATCTTCTCAACAAAGTTTTGCAAGGTTATATTTCTCTATTGGACACTACTTACTCAGCTTCCCTCCTTTTATTTTTTTTTTCTTAAGGACAGAAGGAGATCTTTAAAAAAAGATTTTTAGATGGTTTCTCAACTGTCATTAAATTCAGAGTAGTGGCACAAGAGTGCCACCAGCTGGTTTAATTAATGTTAATGTTAGTGTTAAATTGTTAAAGCTTTGCAAGAAGTGTGGAGAGAGATTTATGTACAGAAGTCCTCGGTATCTTGTCACTGTCTTTTTTTGTTTTCTTCTTTTCCTCCCCATAATGCACATACCTTGGTAATATTTAACTGGAAAGGACTTCTTCTATTTAACATATTTAAGCTATTAGAACAATAAGATTAAATACCTTAGAAGATTGCCAGGTCATCTCTTTCTTACACTTTCCACCCAGTAATTGTTCAGTATTTGTAAGCTGATACTGTGAGTTTGGCACCTTTCATACTCTGTTGTACTGGTTTTAAACCCTACATGTAGGCATTCTGAGCCCTTACCTTAAAATTAGAAAAATCAGATAGAACTCTCTTAGTGATGAATCTTTCTAAATGTGTCACAATTAGTTTTGTACTAAATTTGTCATACATACTTCTGTACGAAGTGATAATCAGTGAATCAGTGTTTGATATGAATGTGATTGTCAAGGTTTTGCCACAATGTGCAAGTAGAATCAGAGGAATGAGCACGTTACCTGTGAACTGATGTCCTGCTACAGCTGCAAGATGGGCTCTACAGCCTGCATCTTTCAGGACCTAGACAGACAGGTAGTTTATCACCTCTTCTGAAAGGATCTTTACTACGTAAAATCCACCCATCAGTTACTGCCTGCAAAAAGTAATTCTAATATGCTCATTAATTCAGTGTTAGTTTAGAAATCATTTCTTTTTTTCCTTTTTAACTCTTTTTCATCCTAAGACCTTGGAACCTCAAGAATTAAAACAACCCCCTGGACTTTTCATAAGGGAACTGCCAAGAATAATGGGGCAGGAAATCTTGAGCTTTCAGCCCTGTAGATGATTACTTGTAATTTAGTATATTGCAACCATTTATATTCTGAAAATCTGAAAGGTATTTTAATTTTTCTGGTAGTCCATCTATTCTATCATGTTTAGAAAACTTGTTTTGTAGAGTTGAAGATGGGTATAAAATTGTTTCAGATTGAAGTCTTTCCTTTAAAATAGTTAAACACTTTAAAACTGGGAATTGTGAAAGAGTAACACGTTGTTCTAAACTGAAATTCAGTTATTTTCTTTCTTTAATGGTTTGTGCAGGTCAAATACTTAATGTTATGTGTGCATAGTTGTTGTTTAGCCAAGCTATAATTCCTAGAGTTTGGGCTTTCATATTGCCTTGATATTTATGCTCGTTCTAAATTCTGGGTATCTATAGTAATGCAGAATATGTTATGCAGTAGGAAGGAGCTGTGCACAAAAGGTGTTTGGCAAAGAACTGTTGCCTTCCCGTTTCTAGGCATGTCTCTCCAGCTCAGATTCACATATGGACGTTTTATCACTCTGTTATTTCACATTTTACTGACCAACACCTGTTTCCATGAAAGAGCATCATTCTTAATTTCCAGAAAACTTTCCTGTGGCTATCTGTTTTCATATTTTGCTGCGGGTCAGGCAAGCTGTATTAGCAAAGTGCCCAGCGGTTATTTTGTATGAAAATTTCCGTTTCCAGACAGTGTAAGACTTCCTTAGAGGAGAACAGATCCACTGTACTTAAATGCAAGATGGCAATAAGCACAAGGACCGATGATAGGAAGAAGGTTAAATGATCTGCCTTGAGCTTCTCTGTAGGAGAAATTCTCTCCAGCAAATAGTATTTCCTCTCAGGAGGGGTTCAGCATCCCTCTTCATCCTCACACTATTGTTGACTGATATGCTAAGGAGAGAATGTGGCTAGAGTCTAAGGAAGAGGCAAGAACTACAAATGTACGTGGTAACATTCTTTCTGTTGCAGTGCTCTGTTCACCACGAAAAAGTGATCCATGTTAACTGGAGTCCATGATGTTTGATGAGAACTCTGTCAAGAAACTCTTAAAGAGAGTTTCCTTGAACTTGTCTTTGTGTTTTTTATGTATCTTTTTGAGCTTTGAATTGAGCCAACCAACTTATTCTAGAAGTTCTGTAGTAATATGTTGCAATGAGACCATTCTAAGCTGACTTTGTGAAATTAGAGCTTCTGTGTAGGAAAGGACACAATTCAGAGTAAAAATGTACTTAGCGGAAATCATAAAAAGAGGATCAGTCTGCCTTCAAGTTATGCAAAGCTGTGTTATTCACCATCTATGTTAGCATTGCCTCGGGCTTGCTCAGGCTGAGTAAATGAACTGTTCTTTAAATGATAGTCTTTCTTAAGTATCATTGAAGTTGCTAAAAGTCCTGCATATGTAGAAAATGCAGAAGGTGTTAGTTCATTGGTCCCGAATGATATGATTGTGTATGTCAGGAAGTCTAATCTGAGAATTCTATAGGACTACAAGCAATGCACGAAACCTTATAATTATACCAGATCCTGCATCACAAAGCCCTCATCAGTGTGTGCTTGAGGTGTGAAAAATTTGTCACTAGGCAGCACTGCTGTGCTTCTAAAACATGATGTAGACACAGACGGTAGTTAACCTGCAGGCAGAAAGATCTGCATTCAGTCTGTAACAGTACTGTCGAGGGTTAGGGCTCAAAGGCAAAAGGTCAAACTGAGTCCTCCTTGGACACTGGCCATTGAAGAAGAGACCTTAACCCCGTGATCCCTCAGTTTTATATTGAATATGACGTATATGGAATGGAATGCTCTTGTTGGTCACCTAGCCTGCCTCTTCTGCACTGGAGGTGCAAACTTTTACTTCTTTGTGACCCCTTTTACTTCCTGGCACTCTCAGTGTGTGGCACACAAGATCCAGCAGTGGCTTTGGTCACTATAGGATCAAGTACTGGCAAGAGCCTTTCTGCATCCCAGTCCCTGGCAGTAACTGTAAACATCAGGCATTATCGCTTCCAGTAGCAGGCACTATCTGCAAAAGCATGCTGTTACCTTCAGAAACTGCAGTCTCTTAGAAGAGACTGAGCTGAAAAGTAAAAATCAGTGAAAAGAAATTGTCTGTTTAGCTCAAACCAGGACAATAACCTTTGTTAGTGGCGAAATACCAGGTGGAGCTTGGACTGGAGCCTAGGTTTACTTCAAATGCTGTGTAGAATCTTTTCGGAGCTGTAGCTTTTAAAGCCTGCTCCGAGATCCTTAATTACTCACCTCAGCATGTGGTTAGTCACACGAAGTAAACTGCGCCTGCAGGAATTATATTCACCAAGCTATTTGATGTTGCACTGCATGAAGTTGTAGACATGGTCTCTTCATTTTCCTCAGGAGACGAGACTTTATTGTGGCTCAGAAGAGACAAGGATTCTGTGCTGCTCCCAATGAAACAAAAGTAGAGTAGTCTTCTCTGTTGTCATTCCTTGTTCTGCATAGAGTTGAGCCAATCTATACAAATAAGGCTGAGGTGGATGTAGTCACATGGGACAAAAGTTGCAGTACAGTGGTGGTGCACAGGAAGTATATTTAATGCTCCTGTTAAGTGCCATGGTATTAGCCTGATTTCCTTAGCAGACTTGTGACTGTGTGGTTCTGCAAATTCCCGTGGGCTGATGGTTGTGGCCCTCTGTAGCAGATGCTGGAGAAGATAATCACTCTGTTAACTGTCATTGCTTGGGTTTGCACCTTTTGAAAAATCCTTTTATACTGATTGCTACTGATTGTGCTTCCCCTTTTTAAACAGATTAAAATATATTTTCATCTGATTTCTCTTCCAAGAGCAAAGTGGGGATTTGCTTTTAACTTCTTGGATTATATAATTTGGACTGTACAAGAGAAGAGAAATTTATATCCTTAAAAAAAAAATAAGCAAAAATGATAAGCCAGGTTTGGATTGTTATTATGGTGACATCTTTTTTCTTTAAGTATGGAAGCAGCAGTCAGTGTAGAAAGCATGGAACCAGTTCCTTGTCTCCTGGACAACCAGTTTTTTAGTCGCTTTATGTTTGGGTAATGGGAGTAGAATGTTCAGTTTTAGAAGACTAGACAGGATTTTCAAAAGCGATGTAAGTGCATGCTTTCTTACTTTTGTAGTTCTAAATGTCTTTAAACATAAGTTGTCTCTTGCAGAAAAGAAACCAGTAGCAGGTAAGCAAAACTTTTCTTAATTCTATTGTGTGACATTTTGTATGGGGGAAGATTAAAATAGTGTGCTCTATTAGCACAACTGCTTTTATACTAGTGTGTTAGGCTTTTGTAGTATTTGGGAATATTTGTGTTTTTATGGGAGGGAAATAAAATGATGACAGGTGTGGTTTGGTTTTTTTTCTCCTTAAATTCTACTTTATCTTCTATAATCAAGACACTATAAAATTACTATACTGACTTCTTTTGATTTTATGTTCTTTCTCTTTCTTCCTGCACAAGCACTCCTATTTGGACAGGGAAACCTCCCTCCTTCTGAGAAACATTGCAGGAAAGCCTTCTCATTTGCTGACCAAGGTGATGCTTCTTCTTTCCACCTGTATGTGACTATTTCTATGTAGAAAAAAATGCTTTTTGTTTGTCCTGTGCTCCTCCCACCCGCCCTTTCCAGGAACTTGTGTGTTTACTTACATGATTTTCCTGATTTTTCCAAGGTACTTTTAAAGGCTGATTTTTATTATTTGTTTCTGCAGTTTTTTCAAATTGTTCAAGTTCTTTGCAAATACTTAATAGTCATGTCTACAGGTAAAATACCTTAGCTGAAAAGGAAATATACTGAGGTAGAAGTCTTTCGATTCCTATTCCCATTCACTAGTTTAAAAAAATAAAGATCACAACTGTGAAAAAGATGTGAGTATTCAGTACTGTTAAAAGGCAACACTATCTGTATTTAAGATAAATTGTAGTAAGTAATAGGATTTTATTTATTTACATTTTTAATGTCTTGATATCATATGGAGAGAATATCTTAGTAGACAAATTCTGATTATAAATTTATTTTCTTTACAGCAAAGAGGTCAGTAATGTGCTAGAGAGAGCATGAATTGTCATTAAGTTTGTTAATTAAATTTTCTATACATACTTCTTTTGAAACTAGAGTAGGAGGGATGGAGCAAGCTATACATCTCCTTGATGGAAAAAAAAAAGCTGGAATGAAGAACGTATAGCATCATGTTGTTGACAAAACTTCAAATGTTCCGTAGCTGAGATATCAAATATGTCTGATGTTACTACCTGCTGCAAATCACTCCTTGAAACCTCAGGCAAACCTGCAGTGACAAAATTGTGGCATTACTAAGATTGGAAAAGACTTCTAAGTTCATCTAGTCCAACCATCATCCAAACGTACCTTGACAACTTTCAAAATGATAAGGATAATGTTTGCTGGACATAAGTACTGCTTTTTCTGAAATAACGTTCTTCTCAAAATGTTCAGCATGCAACAGATTTTCAGGCTGTTTTGTAGAGGTGTATATGCAGCCAAAACCAAGCAATTTTCTGCTCCTATGATTGATATTCTTAAAATTGAAGTTCATGCTTCCTTCCTTCCCTCTCTGCAAGTTGCTTGTAACTGCAACTGCAACAAAGCAAACAGCCACCAAACCAGCAAACCTTACTTGATTACAAATAGATTAACCACGGCTGTGGCTGAAACAGAAACCATGATTTTGTCTTTCATCTCCATGTGTTTTTATATCCTCCCTTCTGGATATTTTTATGTGGGATGAGTGTTGGTTACCATATGGAACTTCAATAAGAAAGATTCGTAATATCTTAAGTCAGTTGTATCATATGACCATTGACTGTCTCATATCAGTGATTCAAACAGACTTCTGAAGTTAAATACTTGGATTTATAAATCTTTGTCTTGGCTTATTAGACTTTGTAGTCCTTTGAGTCAGATGCTTCTGGTGAGCTTGCTGATGGTTCTGAGGGTGATGTTTATTTTTACCTTGGTGTAGGACTGTCTCAAGACAGCTGTGCTCTCTTCTTCTGACTACTGATCACACAGTCCTGGTGCAGATGCTTACTGTTTCTTTTCTGACCTCCTGTGGAGAGAAATACCATTAGTAAAATACTGAAATGGAAGTCCACTTTGCTGCTTAGATCTTTTCAGTTTTCTCTTCCGTTAGATAAGCCCAAGTATGGGAGAAGCAGTCCCAAGAAATGGAGCTTTTCCTTGCAATTGTAGCAAGGTGTTAGATCAGTTAACTGTAGGGTCGTGTTGCAGCTGTATTCCGTGTGTCTGGTCTGTCAACTGTTTCTTATTGTTTCTTATATTCTTCCCCTTCTTTGATCTATCTACCTCCTAAATGAAGACTAGAGATGCTTTGAGGGAATGATAATACAGTATTGTCCTCTAACTGTCCCTAATTGTAAAAAAACTTGTCATGGACTCGATTCCTTTTACATTACAACCATGCTCAAACACAGTTTCTATCGCAGCATAGGGCAGATCTCAGCACAGAAAATGATCTATTCATTGTGGTGGTCTCTTCATTTTTAAATGTAATTCCTTGTGTTGTTCACACAGCATTCCCTTTGAAAACAGAAAGAAGTGAAAGCATGTCAAAGTAAGTTACTGAATATTGAAAATAAAGCAGTGTGCCTTTACTTTCAAATCTGCAAGATTGTTTCTCTGTGATGTTGAAAATAAGCCATCAAATAAATGCTGAAAACTAAGCTTATGGCTATGAAATAGAGAGCACATGCAGAAAATTTTAAGAGAGTATTCAGGTTCAAATATATCACCATTTAGGGTGGGAAAAGAGGAAATAAAAATGTAACGTGTTGGATTTTGAAGTTACCGTTTCTTCTACCATTCTTATGTATGTGAAGCTGAAAATCCCTTCAGGAAGCCAGATGATGGTGATTTAATGCTGTAATGCTTCAGAAATGGATGTCAGCATCTGGAGAAAAGGAATCATGTTATGCTGTCTCTTCCCAAATATCCAGTACTTCATTCTTCTTTTCTTATTGACTTAAAAGGCCTGCGTTCTTCTTATGAATGTTGATTTCACTGGTTTGTAGCTTTTGGTTATTACACGCTGTAATCCCTTGCAACCTTTGAATAAATCAGTTGTGAAGTCAGCTTCATGCATCTTAAGCGAATCTGATTCAGTAAGCTTCTTGAATGAAGCATCGGTTTGAGATTTTTTTTAATGCAGTTTAAAAATACAGCAGTTGATTTCTAATCTGCAAATGATGTAAGCACAATCTGAAAATCCCAGCCTCCTACAGGCAGTTTTTGAAGGAGTTGTGATGGCCACACTTGGAAACCACAAAAAGTACGTAGGCCGTTAGTAGCAGGGTTTTGTGCAACACTGAACATTACGGTATAAAATTTTTTTCCAAGAAGTTGCTTTATATTAATCCTCTGTGATTATTGTGATGTTCCTGTGTAGTTTCGATGTCACCTTTGTCTTGGAATGAATTATAAGAACATATTGTGGATACGTTGTTAGACAAGCAGCCAGTTTCTGCCCTGTTCTGTGTATTTGTTGAGCTTTTTGTCCAGCTAAACCTCCTTACCAGTCAGTCCTAGTACCCCATCTTTTATGTTGTAGTCTTCATTCCACTCTCAGACTTTCTTACTGTGGTTTCTAAGGTCTATTCTCTCTCCTGTTTAGTTTGTGGTTTTTGTTCGTTTGTGGTTCTTTTCCTTGCCTTTTCCTGGTCCCAGAGTTAGTACCATTTCTCCTGTAACTTATTTGCCTTAGGTAGTCCCAGTGAGAAGCATGCCCTAGAGCTGCTACAAGACAGGCCATGATTCAGATGGAAGCAGGAAGATTGTAGGTGGATGCTTCAAGGGATAAAGAGACAAGGAAACTCCTTGCAAATACATTTTGGGTTTTTTCTTCATTGCTACTAGCTTTGTCAAATCTAGTGTGAGTAGTCTTTCAGAGGGAAAGCAGAGTGTATGTCCCTGCTGAGTAAGATTCTATTCTGCCATACTGGGAAGCACACCATCAAAATTGCACCCAGTCTAGTGGATGGTTGTTACTCAGTGGTACAGCCTGGAGGTCAGTACTGGGTGCTTCCCAGTCAGAGGTCAATCTAATACTTTTCAACATCATTAATGATTGTGGGGCAAACACTAATTTCTAGCTCGAGATTGGACTAAGTCCCTTACCTCTGGCCCATACCAAAAGCAACTGCTGGCATCACAGTTTTCTTCCCAACCAGTTAGTTTAATGATAATTGCAAGAAAATAAAATTCCGATCATGATGAGGTTGCACAGTGGTTCTCTTTAATAAGAAGTAGCGCTGCCTGTGAAAATTTCTTTGCATCACACTTCCAGTATTAACACTTAGCTATATAGTGTATGTTATAGTATGGCCCAATTCATGGGGTAGAGTGGGGAAAAACTTAAGCCCTGGATAATTTTGGTCAGGCACAAGGGAGCCATTATGCATTTAAGTTCATAAGCAGCTGCCATCTATCTCTTCTTGGCTTTTCTTTGCCCTAATAGACTAGGGGGAAAAGATCCCTTCTGTAGGAACTTGTGGCAGGGGCCAATGTGACTTTGAGATGCATTTAAAATTTAACTGCTGCTTTCAAATTTCCATTCAGAAGACATCTCCTGTGTTGCAATTAGACTTCTAATAGCAAAAAACTTGTGCATGGTGCAGCAAAGTAGAACAAAGGAAAAATATGGCACTTACCCCACTGTAGTGTTATTGTAATATTTAAAACTTTTCAAGTGAATAGTTCTCAGACAGAACCCACAAAACAATACTACTGCTTTACATGCATTTCCATAATGAACACAATATGGTAGCAGTAAGTCAGAAATATGCCAGAGGTATAGAAAACTATATTAAGTTGGGAGGGAAAAAAGAGGAAATGAGGGATGAGTCTGCATTAGGGAGGACGGACCTCTCACTAGGGGAATGACTGCTGTACAACTCACGTTAGTGACCTTTGAAAGAGCGATGTCTTGTTTCCCGTTCTGCTTTATTCAGATGAAGGTTGTTCTGGGTTATTTTGAGAAGAAATGCAATAAAACATGTTTTGAGAATGGTCATGAACTACTACTGTAAACACAATTTCACTGTTTATAGATGGGCTGTGCCACCATTGCCACATATTGTTTATTTAGGGTACGGCTATTCTATCTGTCCTAGTGAGTTTACCAAGAAATACAGAACTGCTGTTGATATTCACTCATTCATCTTTCCCCTTCCTGGTGCTGATCTCATACACATTTGTTCTAGTATCTCTTTTATTATTATTTTTATATATAATAATAAATTAAAGCAACCAACAGAAAACACTTTATTAACATGATTAATGTTCTGATTGATACACAATAAACATGAGGCTAATAAAGATGTCTGGAAGTTTGGGGAATTAGGTACAGACTGTGATGTTAACATGGTGTTCTCAGGCAACAGGAGCCTCTGTTTCAATAAAAACTCTGCAGGAAGGAGAGTCCTTCCAAAAGAGGTGATTGCCTTTCTACCTGAGGCTAGACTGTAGCTGAGGAAATAAATGGTGGACACCTGCAGGCTTCTGGACCTTCAGAAGTTCATGCTATTTGTGTATTTAGTTATCCTATCTGCATTCAAAGAAAAACTTCAGAGAAAAATTTCAAGTATTAAATGTAAGTTTCTTCTCTTACACACTTTGTGATCCGTATATCTACCCTATTAACAAAGTCCACATTTAACTTAACCTTTCATCACTTAATTACTAGCTTTCCTAGATACCATAACCTTTCTTTAGTGATTCGCCTCATCCGTTTTTCAATTCTGCCTGTAATCTCTGTAGAAGGGATCAGTTAATGACACTTCAAAAATGTACAATGAAATAAAAAATAAAAGCCCAATCTAGAAATGTGAGACATAAAGTCATTGAGAAAGGTCGGCTCTGTCATAGCACATCCTACATATTTAATGTTAAAACACAGCTGGAATATCTTTCATTGCGCATTTAACTGGAAACAGGCAGGAGACTGTGGTCATCATTATATTATGGAAATCTTAATTCTGACTTTTTTCGGGGTTATTCTTTCCAGTATTTCAGTGTGGGCTAAAATTATTGAAAGCTGAGTTCTGGTATAAAACCACAAAGAAGTCACTGCAGTGCTGTACTCCTTCAATTTTAGTTTACAATATGTAGGATATTCACATGAACAAGTTCTTAAAGAATACTTTACAACACACATTAAATAAGGTGTGATGTCTTCCGTAACCTCTGTAATCTCAGCTCAAAGCTTTAAAATTTAAAGTATAAAAATACTCTCAAAGTTGTACCATTAAAAGGAGGAATGTATGTCCAGTGTTACAGTGATATGTACTGCTCCTGAAAGAGAATATCATTTTCCTGTCAGAGGTGGAAATTACACGTTCTGTGCTTTTACACAGTCGATGTATGTGTGTGTCTCCTTTATGCTCTTCCATAGCATATATGTGACCATAAAGACAGTCTTATCAAGGAGTAGATTCTGTTGAATCTTTCTGCTCTGTTAATTTTCAGCCAGATGTGCTCCCTGACTGATTTGTCAGTGTGGCCACAGCACCACTATGGCTTCTATAACTGAGAAGTGAGGCCGTGCAAGTGAGGCAGGTGTATCGGCCTTGATTTCACCAGTGGCCTACATTGACGTATGCTGCTGGTGAAAGCACGCGCTCTAGGCAGCAGTCCTGCCCTTCACTTGTGTGTTTATAACCTTTTGGCAACCTACCTCGCATCACTGTTACTAGAAGCGTTTACTGGTGGTGTGGTGTGAGCCCACTGCCGGGAGTGACAGCAAAGAACCTGTAGCCACTCACTCCTCCCTCCTGCTCCGTTACTTTAGGCGTGAGGAGGGAGGAAATTCATCTGAAAAGGCTCAAGGATTGAGATTAGGTCAGGGAGGGTTCATTCACTGCTTATGGTCATGAGTCAAAAAGACAGAGTAGACTTGGGGACAAAACATAAATTTAATATACCCCCACCAGCTATCAACTTGATCAGAGTAGGATAATGAGAGGAGTATATAAATAAATACAACCCAATCTTAAATATGCTTCCTCCCCACCCCTCCCATCTTCCCAGCTACCTCCTCCCCTACACTAGTGCAGGGAGCAGTGCAGGCTGTCTGGCCGTTCCTCGTTGTCCATGGCAGTCCTTCCTTCTCAGGAAAGAGGGCTCCTTGCAGTCTTTACCTGATGCCACATGCTGTCCATCTCATGGGAGGCAACCCTCTCCCTCCACGTGAGTCTGTCCCACCAGTGTGGAACTGATCTCGGAGTCGTGGGTCGCCTGGGGTGTGTCCTCCGCTGTTACATGTCTGCCCCCTGGCATGGGGTTCTCCATGTACCGCTGCATCCTGGACCTTCTTGCTGCCACTGATCCCCTTAGTTGACAGGCAGTCATCTCCCTGCCATCCCACTTGCCACTGCACTTCAGGGAAATACTCTACTCCTACGCCTTTCTCCCCTCCCCTTCCAACCGACCATGTGTCTTGTTCTCCGTTTACCTTCCCGTCCTCCAAAAAGAAAAACTCCCCAACACAAAGGACTGGATACAGAGACAAAAAGAGGCAGAGAAATGACTGGTCCAACAGGTTTCCTCTCTTAAATAAATTGATCACTGAGGCACTGATTGGCCTGGCAGTTGGCTTTTACCTGGCACTGGGGGAGGCTCTGGAAGCTTCGTGAGAGTCATCACCTACAGCCCTTCCCCAGCTACCAAAATCCCCGCTGGACTCAAACCCATGACAATTATCACGGAGAAATAAATGCCTAAGTTAAATGTGGTTGGACTGTATGTCCTGGCCTTGTTAGTTTGTGGTGTTGAGTAGTTTACAGTTGCAGCCAGGTGTGTGTGCCACCTGTTGCCCTTCTCCTCCATGTGAAGTGACAAATGTTGTTGGCTTAGTACACGCTGAGGTGTTGCCCATGCTTTCTCCCTTGGAGGAGATGTCTCAGTTCCACTTACAGGGGAGGAGAGAGCCTGTTTATGGCTGAGTGCAGGTTTGGGGTGACTGATGGGGAAGCAATGTGGATGGCTGGTTTTTTGGGCCATTTGGACAGAAATTGAATAAATTGTTGTGAATGTTGAAGAATCCTGCTCCAGTGACACATTGTTTGTCACATCAGCAGTGATGCAGGTGGCCCGACTGCTAGCTATGAAGCAAAATTTGAATAATTTAAAATCCTTGATGACAGTGTGCTTTCAGAAATTTCTGATTCTTGCTTCCTTTGTGCATTTCCAGTAAGTAGAATCGCACTTTTCATAATTTGTTGCTGGCTGAAACTTGTTCTTATTTTTATCATTATAATCTGCTGGGGTTGTTTTGTTTTGCTTTTTAAATTTAAACTGACTTTTGTTAAACTCCAGCAAAGTATGAGAAATCCTGATTTCTGGACCTACATTAAAATTGAGCGGGGAATGAAAAAGTAGTTGGTAGGCATTAAAATAGTAGATCCTCAAAATGTTTTTTGGTCTACTATTTGTTTATTTTTAAAAGCATTTTAGGGAATGATGGGTTTTTGACTTTGAGATGGAGGAAGATATTTTGGCTGTGTTAGTGCAGGTATATGAGAAGCCCCCAGCCGATTCCTTGTTGCTTGCTCTCCTGTTGCCAGCTGTGACTGTGAAGGGCTGCTGCTGTGCTCTAGATAGGGGCATTGCACAGGGGGACAGTGCAATGGGGTGGGAAACTGAGCTGCTTGACTTGAGTGAAGAGCAAAACCTAATGTGTTGTCAACATTTGTACAGCAATAAAATTTATGGTTGGGTTAATGAGCAGCTTTTTTAAACCATAAATTACAGTTTCTCCAAATGTATGATAAAGTAAAAAAAGTCTTTTGCTCCTGTCGATTTCATAGTGTGCACGTGTGTAGCATCTTTTTTAGAGACTTTACAAGTATTTAAAGCCCTTTTTTTTAGTAATTATTTCTACAGATAGAAATGGTTGTTAAGGAAGAGGAAGAATATTTAGGAATTCTAGGTGTGTTTTATATTTGAATGACTCTTAGTATTGTGGCACAATTTGGTTTTGGTAGAATATTAATCTGATTTAACCTTTCTATAGCTATATGACACCATCTTTATGGTGAATAAAAAGCTGTAGTTTGCTGTAGACAAATAAAAAGCTGTATTTGCGTCAGCAAATAGAACAGATTTAAATGATCTGATTTTTTTAAATGCATTTCCAGTTGTAACAAAAACAGATTACTTAGAAG